GGCACAAGACTGGGGAACGTGGCCAAAAGGAGTTTGAAAACCAGCAGCACCCATTGTGCCATGCAGTTGTTTGACATGTCACGTGCAGAGAGACTTCTGTGTGACTCCAGCACATCTAAGAACATCTTTCTTGAATTTTCCCACCTTACCTCTGACACTCAGCAGAGGGTAGGGCCTAGCCGTGGCCCACTATGAACCAGGAGAAAGAGGTCGTGGTAACTGCATCATGCAGAATCTGAGGGAAGCACTCCGAATTGCTACTGGACAGAGACGGTGAGGGCAGCCCATCTTCTACGGGCTTCGGGGCAAAGGTGGTCCCAGGTGGCATCTGGATATAAGGACAGTTCAGTTTGGAGCAACAGGAGGGGACAGGCTAGGGAAGCGGCCGGCTGTGCTCCCTCCCACTTGCCCACAGGAAGTGCTCTGGACTCCTCTGGCTCTCATTTTCTTCATAGCAGTAAGAATGATCTACTTTGAGAGTGAATTAGGTCACGTGCAGTGCTCCAGCCACTCACTAAATGCCCCCCGTATTATTAGTGTTCTCTTTGTACTAGTCTCCAGTGAAAATGCTGCCACTCTGGGTGGAACAGAGTGCCCTTATGGAGGCCTGATAGGGCGCTGTCTTCTGTGTCACCACTGTCACATACTACATGTCTCTCTTGCCCAGGAACGGATTTAAGGTAATGTTCTAAAGTACTGATTCAAAGCAGTTCTTGGTATCGCACTTCATCAAAATGTCTGAACAATAAAAACTCAGAGGCCGTCTTTATTGTGAAATTCTAAAATCATATTTATTCACCAATTCACAGAAGTGTCATAATGATCACCAACATGAATCAGTTTGTAGGCATTTACAAGCCAAGGCTGAAAATAAATATCTGTCTGTGTTAAATAGGCATTTAACAAATTACTTGGAAACTGCAAGAATCATAATTGTTAGAAATTTAAAGTTTGTGATTCAAACACAGATAAGATCACAGTCATGGGGAGAAGCTCGACAGATTCCCAGATGGTTCTTATTTTCTTCCTGCATCTTTATGTACATGTAGCCCCTCAGCACCCCTCACACTACACAGGTTTGAATTGGGTATGGCAGCCCCACTCCGCAGGGCCCGGGGTGCCCAGGAAAGGGGTGGGGAGGGCAAGGGCACTTTCTCTGATGTCCACTAAGACAAAGTGCTCTTCTAAAGGTAGATTTAATTTTCCATGGATCCATACAGTCTTTCTAATGAGATATTCCAGTTTGCATTGTATCACACTCATATATGTACAATAATATATTTAGCAAATAAACACATTTTCTAGACTAAAATGAGCCATGCCTGAGGCAGCTCAAGGAACTGAGCAGTTACCACGTGTCAGGTTCATGTGAGCCCAGGCCTGGGGGGAAGCTGCCCCCACGAGAGATGCTCCAGAGATGGGCAAGAGCTGCCCAGGAGGGAGCAGTCACCGGAGGCCAATCTGTACAGTGAGGCCCCTCTTCTTCCTCTCTACTGGGAGAACACCACCGAGGCTCCAGCAGTGGAAGTGTACCGCCCTACCGCAGACTTTTCCCACATACTTTGGTTGAGGAGCTTGGGATAATCAGGCTTCTAAATGGTGGTGACATCTAAAGAGATGGGAAGAGGGAAGGGCTGAGAGCAGAAAACCCTAGACTAAGTAGACTGGCTGAACCTGGAGCCTCTACATTAATTCCAGAATAATACCCAAAGATGACAGACTTAACAGCATTTTACCAAGTGGTTAGGAAATGGCAGAGATAATAGGAGGAAATGCCCTAGAAATAGCATGTTGGGTGTTATTCAGATGTGGTCTAAGTGTGCACAAACCCACTGTGTGCAACATCCCATAGCTGTGCACCACCAGAGAGCCAGACCCAGTGCCTGCAGCTGGCTGAATGCTGCATGGAATCTGAATTCCCAAAGGCTCTCCTCAGCACGTGGGGGGTGGGGACGTGTCTGCCCTTCTGCTCTGTGGCTCACTCGTTTTGGCCTATAGTGATGCTACTCAGTCTCCACTAAGTAGTGACAAGCTGGACCCTTCATTTCTGTGTGTTTATCAAACGCCTGATATGTGTTAGGCATTGTTCTCCATGCTTTGAGAGCTAAGAGCAAATCATAATAAGAAAGATATATAACATCCAATCCAGTGCTTCTAAAAAATGTACAATATGTTGGAACCATTGACCTCTTTATTCCATATCTTCTGGGTGTAGATATGCATGTGACATATGTACATGTATGTGCATATATGTGTGTACACACACACATACCATCTGTCCTTACCCTAGTTATCTTGGATATTTCATATTTAATACCTTAATTTCTCTAATTAATGCCTCACCAAATCATTCTGACTGTCCTTCTTGCACACGTTATAATGTCTATGCCAATAACACAACAGACCCAACTCAAATATCTACAGATTTCCAGGAAAACAACCAAATTCTACCTACAATTTGTTTTCTAAACTCACCAACTGGATTCCCCCAATCTCCTGTCAGGCCTGTCCAGTTCTGGGCATCAGTAATCTTTTATTTTATTTTATTTTTTTCAATAATCTTTTGTGGAAGTCACCAGGGTCAGGCTGAAACCAATCAGGTGGATTAGTGCATCATGACTAGCTCAATTGAGAACTGAAGTCACCTTCCAGCATCACTGACTAAAGAAACAATTGGTATGACTCCTACTATGGCCGTGTAACCAGATTTATCCATAATTTCTTTGAAACTTTGAATAAAGCTTTAAATACAGAGCTGTAGTCTAGCTTCCTAAGTGATGAGCTGTTCCTGTTTTTGTCACTCCTATACAATTTTCCATTCCCTTTCAAACTCTGACTTACCTTCTCCTTCCTTATCTCTTCTGTTACCCTTTGAGTGATCTGCACTGGGTGTCTCCTCTAGCTGCCTCCCCCCAGGAACTTTTGCCTTATTTCTACCACCTACGGTGTGGCTCTTTTGAATTCTGCCTTCCCCTGGCTCCTTGGTAGCTATGTAAGGGAATGGGTGTTGGGTGGGGATGGATGCCAGATTGTGTTTCATGTTGTCTTTGGCCTCCAAAGACATCACACTTCTGTCTGTGATCCAAAGGCACAAACCAGTCCCTCATCCCCAAGGACCTAAGGACCTTCCACAGGGCAGAGGCTGCTTCCGCCCGCCTTCCCTGCCCTCTTATAGGGGTGCTGAGTCTGAGTCTGTGGCTGACGCGTCTGTATTGGTTTTCTACTTCTGAGAATAGAAGGGCTCATTTCTCTGACAATTTTTTCTGCTGGAGAAAAAAAAAAGACCCAATGTGCGTGTGTGTGTGTGTGTGTGTGCGCATCCTTTTTCTGTTCTCAAATGCTCAGTAAAAAGGGTCCAGGTAATAAAGATGAATTTCAGGATAAAAGCAAACAGACATTAAAGCCAACGTGTCTCTGTTGCCTGTGATTAATATGCAATGTCTGCATTCTGGCCCCTCTCAAGTTTGTTGCCCTCTTTTCATTAGACTATGGGTAATTGAGCTTCATGTTGATGAATCTCCTCTGCAGTAATGTGATAAAAGGGATTGGAGAGCAGTATGGGGCTGGGGTCATTAACAAATTGAGGCATTTTCTCTTTAGTCGGGATGCTGCCCATGACCCTTAGAGTGGAGCAGACTCATCAAGGCCTGTGTATCCTTGTTTCTTAGCAGCTTTCTCTCCTGTTCATAGCAAGGTGGGGTCACTTTCTCAATAAGCACACTCCTATCCTCCTTCCACTTGGACAGCAGGAATTTTGTCACCTGTCAACTGCACTTTCTTTCTTCCTCTATATGATTTTATAAAGAGTCTTTTTTTTTTCCAGCATCAGGGATCAAACTCAGGACCTTGTGCTTACAAGGCAGGTATTGTGCCATCTGTCAACTGCACTTTCTTTCTTCCTCTATATGATTTTATAAAGAGTCTTTTTTTTTTTCCAGCATCAGGGATCAAACTCAGGACCTTGTGCTTACAAGGCAGGTATTGTGCCACTGAGCTTAATCCCCAGCAATTTTATACAAAATCTTCACTTATAGAGAGAGAGAGAAGTGGGGGAGGGCAGAAGAGAGAGGATGAAGAGAATTTTTCCATTAAGATATCTTAAGTTTTCAAACCAAGCCCATTCCTGGAAGTCAGATGATCTCTGAGAGTCCATTCAATCCAATGTTTGTGGAGCCCGTGCTGTGGGCCAGGTGCAGTGCTTAGCACCGAGGGTGCTGGGATAGACTAGTTTTTATTCTTGCTTTGGGGAAGTGACAAGCAGACATGGAAAGTGTTGAGAGTCCATGCTAGCCCCCCTCATAGGGCCATGTTTTTCAGGGTCCCCATTCGGTATCTGGGATGGACGAACTGTGGTTCATTTCATTCAACTCAAAGATCTGGTGGAGTGGGGCCCTGCCTGTGGTGATGGTGCAGAGCTGCCAGCTCCTCTCTGCTCTTCAGAATGGGGGAACTGCTCTAGGCAGGATCCAGGAGATAACCTAGCCTGGTAATAGGATGGAGTTCTCTTCCCTGCTTCTGACAGATGAAGTGTAAATGGCTGGTCATGCCTTCCTGCTGACCCACATTGTGACATCTATGGTCTGCCTTCCCAACAATGCCACCACTACCCACTTAGGGTTCTGGTGGATCTGAGCTCCTGATCCTCAGGCCACAATGTCCTCCACTCTGCCTAATCCAACCCAGTGCAGACCTGATAACAAGAACAGGGCTCAGCCTACTTCCAGAACTACCTTGCTATCGTTTGCCATGTTGTCCCATAGGACGCTTTTGTAATAAGTGATTAAGATAAACACAAAATTGTTTTAAGTCTTAGAAGAGAAATGTCACCAAAGAGTTCACTCAGGGAGGCTGGACTGTAAATAAAACTCTTCTGTCTGGTTTATGCCATGCTTTCTCAGAGGCAAATGACTAGCAAGTCCATCTTCTCTTTCCTTTCTCTCCCTCTCCCTCTCTCTCTCTCTCTCTCAGTCTCTCTCTCTCTCTCTGTCTCCTCCTTTCCTTCCTCTCTCTCCCCCCTTTCTCTTTCTGTCTTTTTTTCTGTCTTTCTTTTTTTTCTTTCAGCAGACTCTAACTTCTTAGAAATGAGTTGTCCTCAATATGATCTCTGTGTTGGTCTCAGGAGATTGGCTGGGCATTTGATCAGAAGTCATTTTCCCAGGCTGGGCTGGGGAAATGGCATTTTCCCTTGGGATATCTGGGGACTCACCGAGGAGACTGCTGGAACACCAGGTATGTCTTTGAGCAGGGCAGCATCCGGGTTTGTAGGTTCTCCTGGATCACGTGCTACACTTTTTCCCATCTGTCCTTCCTCTGTTCTCTGGACAGAGTGGGAACCACAATTAAGTGCAAATGACTGGTAAAGCACTTACGAGTTCTTCCCAAAGGTGTGTGGACCTTCACGGAACTTAAGCCATAAATTAGTGATTGGCAGACCTCAGGTATCTGGTAGGTTGGGGGTTGGGCATTGGTGGTACCTGGCACTTACATAGGCCTTGAAAATGAGAGAGTCTAGACAGATTCACATTGTCTATAAGGCTGCTGTTTTGTTTTTGGTTATTGGTTTTCTACTTTTAGTAACATGAATTACTGCTTTTCCAAGAAAAGCTATTTATTCCCCATCTAATTTAGTATTTGAATTGTGATGCTGCGTGCCCCAAGTCCCATTACAAATGGACAGCGCTGTAATAACTTGGCAGTATCCTTGAATGACCCTGTTCACTCTCTACCAGGTTCTCTCAACGCACCACTAGCACAAGGCTTTAAGCAAAGCAGTCCTTCTTGTGGTCTAGGGTCATGGCTGCAATGTTATTTTTCCATTCAGTATGGGCCTTAAGGAGCCTGCTGGTACAGGAGATTAGCAGGTGGTCTCCCTAGGTGCAAGTGTTCCCACTAGAACCTCCCCTGGGCTGTTTCCTTCTAGGGGAGAAGGGGCACATGGGTAAGAATTGTCTCATTGTCTCATGCCTGAAGGGAGGAGGGGGATTAGAGCTAAGACCAAGGCCCCCTGAAACCAGTGCTCCAGGAATATGAACTGGAGTTGGGAAGGCCCTCAGGGAAGAGTGGAGGGTGTGTGTTCTGCTAACCCCCATCCCAGTTTGCCATTACTGAACCAGTGATTGGTGATTTGACCTTCTTTGTTAATAGCAGCTCCTCCTCATGCAGCTTAAGCTATGCTCATCCTCTATATTATTGGTTCTCAACTTCCGTGTGCCCCAGAACCTCATTAAAGCAAAGATCCCCGGACTCCACCTCCAGTCTCTGATTCAGTAGGCCTGGAGTGGGCTTTATGAATCTGTGATTCTCACTGGTTCTCAGACCACACATGGAAAATCACAGCTCTGCAGCATCTACAGGTCCTCCAGAGCGCGGACCCTTTCACCTGTCAGCTCTGAGGGTTGCTTCACATCACTTGATTGACACCCACCTGGATCACCCTAACTTGCAAGGTCTGCCTGACTGCTACTCTTAATTAAGGACTTCCTCTGGCTCAGTCATCAGTCATGTTACTTCTTCTGGCTCCTTTCTACATGTGAACTGAATCAGGCTTGGGAACCATTAGGGGACATTTAGGGAAACATTACCCATTTCCCTAGAGGCTGCCTCAGTGAGGAGTATCAGTGTCCATGGGATCACTATGATCAAATAAGTGAACCCAACTCCTCTGCCTCAAACTTCTCCCCCTTAGCAGTCCTACTCCCCTCAGGCTGCCTCAGTGAGGAGTATCAGTGTCCATGGAATCACTATGATCAAATAAGTGAACCCAACTCCTCTGCCTCAAACTTCTCCCCCTTAGCAGTCCTGACTGCTTGTGGACAGCTTCCAGTTCTGAGAAGAAAGGATCCTCACAGCTCGCAAGACCAAGAGATCCTCCTAGGCTGGGTTCTGTATCATTGGCTCTCTCTCCCTTGTTCCTGGCAGGACACCTGGTGCACTCATGGGTGCCCAGTGAGGACTTGCTGAATGGCATCGAACATGGCTGCAAACACAGACTCCCATCTGTTCACTGACTGCGCATAAGAACTGTCTGATTGCTTTCCGGAGTGCTGGTGGAGGTAACTTCTGTCTCATTTGTCTCCCTGGGACAAAGTGAAGCTTGCCTCCTAATCTGCATGCCCTGTAAAGCCAGCCCTCCTTTTCCAGTTGGTTCCAAAAGGAAAACTAAAGCAAGATCTTTGGAGCAGATATAGAATAAATTTATGAAGTGAAGCAAATCAAGACAGGGAAATGAGGGTGCTGGAATAGACTTCAAAACTTTCATTGCTCATTTCCTTTGCCTTCAGCTGGACAACAGAAAGTGGTTACATGAAAATTAAATTGTGCCAAGGGCTTTGGCTTGTCAGCCTTGATAAATGTCTGATGCAGATAGAGAGAGAATGGTGTACTGTCCCCAGCCTGCCAGTACACACTGCAGGAGGCTTAGGAATCCCACAGAGGCTGGAAAATTATTGTACGTGAACGTCATGGACTTTTTACTGACAAATTCTTTCAAAGAAACAGACATACTCCCTTACTTTTTGGTAAAGCATATTTGGTTAATTGAAATGAGACAGTGATTAAGGAAAATAAATGCTCCTTTTCTTCCTCTTGCTAATATTGAGTCACAGAGCCAAGAAAACTGCTAATTTTAAAGTGTGCTGGGTTGTGCTTTCGGCTGATTATGTTGCTATTGATTCGAAAAGTCACAAGTCTTTAGGATCATTTTTAGAGCCATGGCATGAGCAGAGCTGAAGTGAAAATCAGTCTGAGATAATGAACATTTCTGCTTAGAAATCCTCATGCGCTCGGCGCGCTGGGAAGACACTAAAGCCTGGGGAGTTAACATTTACTTCAGTGGGGTTAGTGCTCAGTAGCAGTCAGTTCCCTGGATCCAAGGCCTTCAAACCTTAGGAATATTCATCTGAATTTGTCAGCTCAAAAACAACAAGTGTTTCTGATTTGTTTTGTTTTCATTTCCCCTGGAGCATGAACTTCTAAAAGAGCTTAATGAAGAACTATGGAGTTTTCTTGCTGTTCAATTTGGAAGCAAAGACTATCAAGTTGTTGATGGAAGGAATGAGATAGTAGTTTGCTTTCTTCTAGGAAAGGGAAAGTTTTCCTCCTTCCATGTACGCTACAGCCCTCAGACCATGTCTGGTCATCTTGTTGACCGCTAGTTTTCATATGGCCTGTGGGCTAAGAAAGGTTTTTATGATTTTGAGTAGTTGGAAATAAAAGCAAAAGAGTAAAAAAAAAAAAGTCATGACATGAAAATTATATGAATTTAGGCTGCCTACTTTTATAGTGCCCATAAATAAAGTTTTATTGGTGCATGCATGGATAAATAAAGTTTCACCGGAACATTCATTTGTTCTATGTGTTGGTTGTGGTTGCCTTCATGCTACTAGGCAGAATCTAGTACTTGCAACAGAAACCACACGGCCTGGAAGCTCATATATTTATGATTTGGCCTTTTGCAGATAAGGTTTGCTGACCTCTAACACACAGAAGTGGAGCACACTGTTTTGTAGCAGGAGCCCTCCTCCTGGAGAATCCATGTTACAGGGATAGCCTTTGTTAGATACGGAGGGGTTTGCTCTAAACCTTGCATGGCAGATGATTAAATAAATTCATGACAGTGGTAATGAAAAGGGAGCCCATGAAATTACATTTTTGTATCTAGATGAATTTGGGCCTTTGCCAGATTTAGAGCATTTGATTAAATCTGTCAGAATATACTTTTAGTGTTCCTTAAGACAGTTCACCAACTAGTTGATTGCTTTTACTCCACTGGGCAATTCATTATGTCCTGGTCTTTTGCAATCTCAGCCTCCTTTCTCTCCTTTTCCCTGACATCCAAGTCACCTAAGAGGTTCCATCCTTGTTGTTTTCTAGCTCAGAACAGCAGATTTGTGGCATCATCCACTTACAATAGTACAATAGCAGTGGACTTGTTGGTGGCCAGCCCAGTCAGCTCCTCTTCATGGTTCTGAGACTGCATCTGCCTGGCTGCTGATGTCTGAATGAGAGGTTAGAGTGTGCCAAGGCCACCTGAGAGTTTTGCTTCCCCAAATGCCAGCACACACAGACTGGAAAATACCAGACCTATTAATGATATTTTTCATTTATGGCGAGAATATCAGACTCAGGGCCAATTATATTATCAACCACTCTTCTGGATACCTCCTGAAGCTTCTGTCAGTCCTATATAACCTCTGCCATCTTGTTCATCTGTGGTAATGAGTAGGGTACTGGGAACAGGATAAATACCTGTGGACCCAGCAGAATCTTTCAAGTGCCTCAACTTCAGAGCTGGCATGAACAGTAGCCTCTTGTGGTAAAAGAGGGAAAGGGCTCTGGTTCGTTGTTGCCACTGCTTCTTTGAGTCCAGTCACCAAATGCTTCTCCAAGTGACATATCTTTGCTGCTTTAGCCAAGCGTCACTTTCATCTGCCACCCCAACCCAAACACATACAGGTTTCCCAATGCTCCAAACAGCCTATCCAATCATGACAGATGCGGTGACAAGAGACAGCCTAAGAATACAAGAAATGCCTTCCCCACCCAATCAAGCTGGAAAGAGAGTGGAGAGAAAAGTGCTCTCAGAAACCCTAGCCTTAAATCTTTGCAACCAAAACCTAATGCAAAAAAGGATTTAGTTCTAAACATATAAAGTGTCCCTTTTTATGCCATCATTTTGATAGAATTCAGGAGTATCTAAATGCCTGACTGAAGAACCTCTTTTTATTGAAATTGTGGGTTGTACAGCCTAACCAGTCCTGCAGGCCTCCCCATCCCTGTGAGTGTGGAGTCATGTCCTGATAGAAGAGGGGAATGTGATTGGGATCATTCACAGGAAATATGTTTATTTCCTGTCAATGAATAGATAATCTCAAGCTTCTTCCACTGCTATTCTCAAGAAGGCACAAGATCACTGCTTGAGTTGTGAACATGTCCCTCTTCTCATGACTTCCTCTCTCCCTTTCTCTGCATGCACTGTATGATTTCTATGCCTGCTTCTATGCCTCTTCTATGATGATCAAGTCCTGTGTAGGGAGGGGCTTATCTCATTCAGCAATGTCCATTTCCCACAGCTTCTGGTAGGATGCTTAGCATAAAGCAGCTGCTCAGAATGCCTGGTAAGTACATCAGTATGAACATGAAGTAGAACCACAGATCAAGAGTGGAGGGTGGGAGCCCAGCCTCTTCTTTATGTCTGAACAGCTATGAGCAAGACACTGACTCTCTGAGCCCTGCTTTACTCATCACAAAAATGCGTCTAACAACAGATGTGCCAAATATTTCACAGGATTACTGGGAAGTTCAAAGGAGGGAAAGGATGCAAAAACACTTCAGGGATGGAAAGAGCTGTCTAAGGTAGCTCTTGCTAGCAGAAGGGTGCAAAGGCCTCTTGTGGATCCTTACTGAGTGGAGGTTGAACCAGAAGACATTGGTTGTGGTCCCCCTACTTAAGTTCTCTGACTGGATGACACAGGAAAGACACTGAGCAGATGCTGAACTTTCTGTTGAATTTGCACGTGATTGGCTGGGGAACAGCTTTATGCCCGTGCCAAACCAGGATGGGATGGGCTTCGGGTGGAGTGGGACGGTAAGGACAGCTTGTACATTCTGAGGACAAAGAGGAACCCAAGATATTTGAAATAAGCATGTCCTGACAGCCTCGTGGAAGGCTTATAACAGCCTTAATTCTTGCCTGCTATTGTCTTGGCCACAATGATCACCCACTAGTTACTATAGCAACAATTCTTTTTATGAGGTGTCCATGTTAGAATGGAGATAGAAAAGACTTCCTCACTGAAAGAAGAAGAAAGAAAAAGAAATTTGGGTTTTGAATGTATTTGCCCTCTACTCAAAGCATTCCTTCTTTTATGAGAAAAGGAAAGAAGCAACTGCCATTGTTACAAATGTGCTTCTAATTCCTAGAAGTTAGATTTCCAAACTTTCATCTTGACTTGTGAAATTCAAGTAGGTTCTAATACATTTGAAAAGGGCATATTTTTGTAAGAGTGAAACATTGCACGGCCAGGAATTTAGCTCAGTGGTGACTTGCCTTACTGGCCAGCACAAAGTCTTGGTTCAATCCTTGGTACTGGGGGAATAAAAGTAAAACATTGTAATACAAGAGATAAAGGAGCACGAGGTGAGGTTGTGAGAACCTTGTCAACTTTAGGGCTACCTTGGTCCCGGGGTGCCCAGCCACCCTCCCGTCTTCCAGCTCTGCATCCCCTACGAGGCCCTAATAGGCCACCCATTGGCTCTTCTTCCTACCCCTGGCTGTGACCTTGGTGTGGCTGTCACTGGGGCAGTGCCTGGTAGAATGCTTCCTGATGTCTGGTAGTTTTGTGTGGTAATTGTGCTCCCCAGAGGGTCAGCCACATGGGTCTCAGTGCTCCTGAGGAAGGCAGGCTCCTTTGCCTGAGGATAGGCTCTGCTTGTGGCCAATGACCAATCCTTGGTTTTATACTTGTCCTGTCAATATATGTAGCCTCAAAAAGAAGCAAAGGGAAAGGCTCTCTGAGCTGGGAAGTATGTTTCTATGTATCTTTCCCTATAAATGCAGTTCTGCCTCATCAGGGGTCTTCCATTCAAGTGTATAGCCCTAAGACCTAATGAATGAAGTGCTACCTCTTTCCCTGTACAAAGGAACCCACAGAGTGAGCATAGGGAGGACCTGCTGCTATGAGTGGAGAGAGATGCACAATGGGAGTTGGGACCCAAGGGCCTCAGGAGCACTGATCCTGGGGAGGTGAGTGATAGAAAGGTAAACCTTGTCCTTTATAGAAAAGAGCAAGGTGTTCAGAAGTCTGCAGAGTGACTCACAGGATGCTTGGTGAATCCAGGGCAGGAGGAGTGGGAGCTAAAGGACAAAGTCCACCCTGGAGTCCCCGCTGATCATGACACAGAGGTTCAGGGAGCTGCCCTATAGGCAGGTTTGAGGAAGCTGCAGAGGCCTTCCCAGAGCTGTCACGGAGAGGTGATTGGTGATTGCTGTGATTGGTTCAGGCAGACCCTGGCTCGGGTGGGCTTTACAAAAGGGACACATGGGCTGGGCAGTGGACCTGCAGGCACTAATAGGGCAGGGTGGAGTCATCCCACTCCAGCTGGGCTTGCCTGGTGCCGCTCTGCCCATGTCTGCCTCTGCCCATCTCTTCCTCCTCTTCCCCTTCACTGTTGTCCTCGCTGCTGCTGGAGCTGATGTCTTCCTCTGCTTCTTCCTCCTCCTCCTCTCCTTCAGTCTCATCTTCCCCGTGTCCTGATTCTCCATGTTTCTGCATGTCAGGAAGAGGAAGAAAATACTCATCAGAGGCTGAACAGAGCACACTTTGAAGCTTAGGCTTCACTGTTTATCATGGAAACATTTAGGCACTCTTGGGATTACTTTCTCTTACTGCTGACTTCCTGGGCCTGGACAGAGAATTTCTGGAAAGGTCTTCTGGTGGAAGTCAGAAAGTTACAGAGAAGGGCTTGACTAAAAGAAAACTTAAAGACATGAACTCAAGATAAAATATTTGTAAATGATGGTGTGGCCATTTAAGCCAATACTATTAATCATTTTGGAATTTTTCAGGCCCAGGCTTGTTTTCTGGCCTTTCTGGAGCCTATCTACATAGAACCTTCTAATCTCTAAGTGTTTTCTTCCTAGTAAAAGAATAACATTTAATCTTATACTCCTTTTCCAGGTGGAAATATAATGCCCCTGTGAGCAGAAAGCCCTCTCATCAAGGACTTCAGTGTGCTTCCCTTGAAAATCTTCTTTTGGAAAAGACAAAGTTCACAGTTGTGCTTTCTATGCCTGCCCATCCAATGCTGACTCATATCCTGAAACTGTATCCTACCCTTTCCAGTCCCATTCTACCTCCTTCTAGCTTTTTAGTGTTTCCAGCAAAATCTTTTTTCTAGGTTTATGTTTTAAATTGGGGAGTGAGGGCATAAAAGATGTGTCTCTTTGCTTGGCTATACTCCCCTACTAAAATGGCTTCTGGTCTACCTTTTCCTCCTTCGTAATAAACCCAGTCTTTAAGACCTCACTTAGGCCAAATGTCCCCAGGGACGTTTCTTCCCCAAAGGTTCTTCTTACTCAAGCCTCCCTAACTACTGGCACTATCAGGCTGACTCCTGTTAGGCTCACTACTGCCTGGTCCTTAGCCTGCTCTCATTTTCCATAGTCAAGGTTCAGGTGTTTGAGGGTGGAAATGTTGGTGTCTCCACAGTGGTGAGCTCAGCACTGTACCTACATCACATGCTTAGAGAAAATGAAACACACAGTCAAACTGGCTTTGAAATCAGAGCATGAGACCAGCCAAGGGAAAACTGGGACCAGGCCGGAATGATCCTGGTTGTTTCCCGATGACTGATCACCCCCTGCTTCCCTAAGTTTGTGTCGTCCATTACTCAGTGCCTGTGGGCAAAGAACATGATGTTCATGACTTTCCTTCACAGTCAATTTCCAAGAAGGTGGCTTGCAAATCATGGGTGGCTACTGGATAACTGAAAAGATACAAACTTTAGAATTAGACAGTGTTAAGTTTGAATATTGGTTGTGTGTACTTCAGCACTTTCTCAGTTGGTTCTTACCTTGGTAAATGAGGATGATGACTCCTACTTCACAGGTTGTTGATATATAT